AGTGTTAAAAAAACTGTAGCTAAACGAGCGTTTCATATTGTTTAAAACCTAAAAAACCTTAAATAAACTATTGTAATATATTTTTTCTTGGAAATCTGACACTCACTTTTTCAAGAAATTCTCCGCTATCTAAGAAACACGAACGTACATCGCCGTTTCTACGTAAGCCTTCCATTAGGCCCCGCCCTAGGCCAGATCATTCAAATAGTTATTGTAATCCTTTAAAGCTCTGTGGTGATTATATATTTCACCTATTTTAATGACCAATAATTCTGCATTTTGCCTTCTCAGTGGATGCATGGGTTCCATATAATTCTCGTTTTAAATTACGATCATCTCCTTAAACAGCCTTAACCAGGTTATCTTTGAAATGGTGAAGTGTTGTGTTCCATTTGCGGCAATACTTCTAATATTATTTAGATGAGCTTCGGCTTCAGAGGGTTAAATGGGCCTATGCTATCTCTTTTCTTAAGCTTGGGTCATGTTCTTTTAGAATAAATGTCCGAGGCTGATAAAAATAAAAGCTATGCCTCAAAGAATACTAACAGAGAAATTAACAGTGTATCTTAAAGCGTAATAAGGTAGAACAGACGTTACTGAAGATACAGTAGATAGAAAGATTCTATTGTTCTCAGTTGTTCCGTACACAAACTAATACACAGAGGAACATTAACTTCCACATTGGCTTATCTCATTATACCGCCCACTTAACCCATAAACCCACTCATAAATATGTTAAACAGATAGGAAAACGTTAAGAAAACTAGTGGAACATGACAAAGTTTCGACAGACAAATATGGCCATGTTTTACGATCAAAACTGATTTTATTTGAACCTAACAGCCCCATTTATACATTTATGGAATGCGTCTTTTATAAAGTAACCAGATATCGTTAAATGATTTTAGTCTACACTGTTACTATACGCGTATAAACGGTGAAACGAATACAGCCATTTATGTTTAATGGACTGCCTTGTCAAGGATCGTGTTATACAGCCCCTAAAAATTATTCCTAAGCACACGAGTTGCTGTAAATACTGCCGTAATGAAGTCTTCATCGTAACTAACTCCATTACTGATAAATCATTCAAGAGCTTCTACGCCTATTTTGGAAAATGAATATTCACTATCATATTTAAAAGAGTCCGTCACTGGTCAATAGCCTTGGTAGGTTAATAGCCTTCACACTGAAACACTCTGTTTAAGGTTCAACTTAATATTACTCGCTTTGCATATATTCCTAGATCTCAGAAATGGTCTATTCGCTGCAGGCTTCTCGACCAATATTTTGCAAGTGTTCCTAATCTCTTCAATGTGTGCTACAGTCCCCTCCTATCTTATCTTCTCTGATTAGCCGTCCTAATAATATTTAATAAATTGTGTAAACTATGTAATAAGTATTGGGAGATCTGATTGAACTTTCCGGTTGCCATAGAAACCAGTTTGCATCCACACGCGTACTGTAAAAGAGAAATGGGAATATGCTTTCAAAGGATGTTTGCACAGTGGTTTCATCTTCAGTGCACGTAATCAACAAACGAGAAGGCAGTTTGTGTTCTACTTTTAGTTTTAAAAAGGCGTTGATTCCATACTCGTGATTTCTGAGTAAATGCATGAGTATCGGTACCGAACACTGTAATTAACGAAGCATCGTTATTAGATGTGCTAAAGCCCTTCTCATCAGGAACAGATCTCGTGACACTGCACAGCCTTCCGTACAAATGGAGTGGCAGCATTCATAATCGTTTCTGCCATTTCAACTTAAGTTGAGTTTCCAGCCTGAGATTTAAGCTACCTTAAGTAGGAAATTGCATAGAAAAATGAACACTAGGCATCTGAAATTCGAGGCCCGAGAATCGAATGTGGTCCTCTTCGACGCTTTATGCAGTCCGACTCAGTTCTCGAATGTCCCTTTTTTAATAGATTTTAAGTTTCAAGTGCATATACAGATATTTGTGTAACGCTGTTTTACAGTTCCATTAAATAAAATAGAAATACGTTTAAATTAAATTGACATTTTCCAGTACTTATGAAAAGCCAAAAGGAGGAAGTATATAGCCTAAAATCAAGTTTGTATTTGGTAGAAGTAGATGGTTATGACTTTCCTCATTCATGTGATGGTTCCCGCAACAGCCACTTCTGTTTATAGAGGACCATAATATATAGTGACTCTCACTGCCTGTTGTACATTTTTCACTTTTGTTACAATATTCTTTAATATTAAATGTATGACCTACTTTATAAGTTCCACCTCGTATTAGTCATACGCGATGAATATAGCTTAGCAGTTCCAGTGTTAGGTTAACGAACGTAGCTTTAATTTGTAACATCACTTCTTTAATAGTGGACGAAATTAATTCCTATATGATCTACGAATATGATTTCCGAAAGTTGCCTGCTTCTGGAACGGTATCACTGAAGAAAGGCGAAGATGAAGATGGGATATAACTGACATGGAATCCTATATCGCCATAGGAAGTAAATTATAGCTGTACCAGTGACGTAGATGAGGAAAGATATTCGATTCCTGTGGATCTATTGCACTTCATTGGATGGACAAATGCACCCGTTGGGGTGACGCCACAAATGGTGTTTCTTCTCCGCATGACACCTGTCTCTGTAAGTGGTAATACGAAGTCTTGCGTTGTAAAAACGACTAGATGGTAGATCGAACATGGGAACTAGAACGACTGCTTCGATGGCGTACATTTAATAAGTATCGTTATTACAAGAGTAATTTTTGGAGAAGTCACTCAGCTTTGTTCAAATATTTTATAAGTTAGAGGACATTCAGATTTGTTCAAGATATTTACCTCTCTTTCGAATATTTAAAGGCATATGGTAAAAACGAACGGGGTTACACCACTAAGTAAAGCGTACTTAAAATTAATTAAAGTTAATGAAAGTCAAGGGAATTAAGCTTGCGTTGAAGTTAATTTATGCCCTTTAATAAGGCGGTTATTAAAACTAACCAAACTACCAAAAATCAAAATGGCTTGACAGTATTTACTACAGGTCTACTAAAACAGGTTTCGTCTAAACCGGCTTCGTTTTTGAGTGGTGAACAGATGGGCGGACATAATGAAACTAGCAAATACTATTTAATTTTAAGACTGGCTATTCCGTAACCATGCTGTTCCTTCAGTCCCTTGTGACTACTGTTTCTCATTTCGTGTGTCGCGATACACCTGTGGTTCGCGAGTGATTCGGGTACTCGCAAGGTGCCTGTCATAATCTTAGGCAGACCTATCCGGGTTTCGGGTATAAAGACTTTACAAATGAGCTTTTACAATGTTGCACCCTTCGTACACATATACTTTCGTTAGAGGTAATAAGCAGTAGAGATATAACACAGTGTAAAAATAGAACCTGTCTGTAACATGACATGGCAATACTCTTTGTCCCACTTTGCAATACAAATCCATGTTCGACCTGGTAGAACATTGTGCTGAAATTAAAACTATCCCACCCACCCAGCACGGTAGGACACACTGCCGGCTTTAAAGAAAAATGCCCTATCTTAAACATTTAGTAAATTCATTAAACAGAATTTACAATAATGATAATGGTAGCCAATATAAAATAATATGGGGGCCTAGGTTTACTATTCTTTTTGTAATTCAAAGTTGTTTTATAATTCGTCAACCAGAACAAAATTTGAAGCCCTTGTCTCTTGGTTTCATGTTACGCCGATAAATATAATATTATTTACTTGGTTTCAGAGACCCGAGTCAACTTTTATTACAGCTCATAAAATTCCGTCTGTCGCAACGTAAACGACCTCTCTTGTGGAACTGTACCGGTAATTAAGACTCAGGTAATAATGTTGGGCCAGAAAGGTTTGTGTAGTAGGCCAAGGGTAGCTTGGCGTGTTATTGACGGCTCCCCTGAGGCAGAAACAGAACACACGAATCGAACCTGACTCTCCCATCACCAGCCGCTAGTCAGGGGGACATGACATCCACCTCCCCCAACCCAACCCATCCCATCCCATCCGTCTCGTTTGTTGGAGACTAGTCGATTCTTTGAATCTGTACGCAATTTACAATGAAGTCCAATTGGACGGCCAGCTGCTTTACAGAGCATATTATTCCTATTCAGAGCTTTTGTAATCTCCTCGGACCGTGAACGTCCCGAGTTCTCTCAAACTGAACAAGAGCGTTCTTCCGAATGCGTCCGAAAATATCTTTTTCCAACCCGTGTTGAACGCTTTTCACATCAAAGGCACAAGATTGAAAACGTGTACTCTTTGGAGTACAATGACATTCGAAAGCTGTTCTTCAGGCCACACGACGTAGAGAGTTGTACCGATGTGATCGGAGGTCATTGTTACATATTCAGTCATTCTTGAATTAATGTCATCCCAAGTCATGCAGGTTGAGTATCCCCGTAGGAACAATGATCCTTGGCCATGCAGGTTGAGAACACTTGAGGAAAACGCCAACAGACCGACAGACAGACATGTACGGGCTCATAACGTGTTCTTCGCTCACGCTAGACCGTGAAGAATGCCTAAAAAAACCAGCCATCACACTAATTACTCCATGTCGTCTGTAAGTCATTTGTATTAACCGCGTTAATCTTGACTTTTTGGTGTTCTTCATGCTCCAGCGAGAACGAAGAACGCCTTATGTCTCTTCTGTCTGTCGCGTCTTTCCTACGGGGTGGATAATC